AGGCTAAATTTATATTTAAATAATTTTTATTTACTAAAAGGTTAATATTAAACAGAACTAACAGTACTTGTTTATTGGCATTTAATTTAAAAAGACAGATTTCAATAACTTTTTGATGTTTGAAATGAGGAGCTCTCCACAATATCAGCATAATAATTTTGCACCATAAACAGTTTACAAGAAGGTATGAAAATAAGATTTGGAGATTCTTTAAATTTTCAAATATATAAAAAAGAACGTCGTATAGTAAAAAATTTATTTTTGTAGAAAATGAGTGATCTGAAAAAGTGTAATTCCGCTTTATTTAAAAATAATACTTAAATATATTGTACTTAAAATACTGTAATATAAAAAAATTATTTCTGGGTTTATATAATAGTATATAATAGATTTTAAAAACTGACAATTCCTTATATTTTATCTTGTTTGGATCAGAAATGTTTTCTTCTGTTAACATTCTTATCTAAGTTATGAACGTGTTTGGTGTTTGTAAATATTCGTGTACTTGAAAAATTTAAATAACAAGAATTTAGTGGCTTAGTAAACTTTTGCATAGCAGAATTATACAATATTAATAAATAAAAAAATAACAATTTCTATATTAAGCTCACAGTTAGATTATCAGAATAATATATTTTAAAACACATTTCTCTAGATTTATAATAAACTTGTTATTGATAACTAAAGTAAATTTAAAAAATAGAATAAATTGGCATCATTCTTCCTTTATTTTCTGATAAGAAAAATTTTACGTATAACTTTTTGAATGTTATTTATTTTTGTCTTTTCATCTGAAGATGTTTTGTTCTAAATTTGGTTTACTGATCTTATCACCTGAAATGATACCCTATGTCTTATCACCTGAAATGGTGCCCAAAATGGTGCCTGAAGCATATATCTTTTCAGATGTTTAAAACTTAGGTAAAATATTTTTTTTAAAAAAAAAAATGGATTATGTGCCAAAAGAAATTTCAATAATAAGACCTTTTGAAATTATATCAGGAGATGCAACTTTAAATAGTTCATCTATTTTTTTAAAAATGTTACCAAATGTGCTTTTTGAATATAATGACTCTACCATGAACATTCCAGGTTTTATTCTATATGATAAAAAAAAGTATGAAAGCCAAAAAATTTGTCAAAGGAGAAAGTTATCTGATAAATCATCCGATGATACAAGGTATATAGATATATGTGTTAGAATGAATTTACTTTAGAAAAAAAATAACACAAATTAATTGTTATTGATCACAGTACGTCACATGACGAGTTTAAACATCTAACACATATACAATCAGAACAAAACCAGTACGCAGAAATCAAAGATGGTTTTGACAAACTCTGTAGACAGCTCCTAACTACTGTTCACAAGTTAAGTAATGCTGATTTACTGCAGAATGGTGATCATAGTTTTTATTTTTATTGATACTATTTAACAATGAAACATATAATTTACTGAATCTTAATTTGTAAAGCTGTCTTACATCTTAAGAATCAGACACACGATATATCTGTTTTTCTTGATGAAATCAACTATCTAAATGCAGAATTTGAAAAAGTGAAAAGGAAAATCAACCATCTAAATGCAGAATTTGAAAAAGCGAAAAGGAAATCAACCATCTGAGTTAAAATTGTGTTTATTTGAATGCAGAATTAGAAAACGAGAAAAGATAAAAATATTTGTACTAATTTAGAATGTGCTATGTTAATTATTTGATTATTTATTTATTTTATTTATTTATTTTATTTATTTTTATTTATTTTATTTATTTTTATTTATTTTATTTATTTTTATTTATTTTATTTATTTTTATTTATTTTATTTATTT